TCTGGCCCGAATTCCGAATGAATTGATCAAGTATCCAATATTCGCGTGTTCGTCTGCGCGCAACGGTTTCAAATAACAAACTGCGTGCTATGCGTTACTGATTGGAAATTCCACGATTCCTACAAACGTTCGCTCGACCCGAGATCTTGTGATTTTCGCAAAAATGCACTTTAAAAACAATTAGTGTGAATTCATTATACCATGCGGTGTATATAATTCTCGCCGTGTGGTGTTAATATTAACATAAAGACAACTGCGTCCCACATAGTCTAAAAAATATCGGCATAGATTTAACATCATGCGATATCTATATAACTATTGATGTTAATATTAAGAATGAGAATTCTGTAGACACCGTGATGGTATTGAATCCATAGCGATATTTTTTATGATGCAGTGCAAGAAGTCGTGGGATATAGAAGCTGCCTTTGACAGCGTTTAGCGAGCGAATCAAAGGTGACCGGTGTGACCTGCGAAGATAGGAATGCGATCCAATTCTCAGATAGAAGAAGAAAAAGAAGAATGATGTTGATGATCAATCGAGTCGTCTTTAGTTACCATCGAATGAAGCTTCTATTAAGTACGCGCTCCGTTTCCGTATGCGATGCAAAAAGTTGCGTGGACGCGCGATCGCATCGTAATTAGGATGCAAATTAAGTCAAACAGATTGGAGATAAAAATTTGCAATTGGAAATAAAGTTTGCATTTTCCGATTCGTTGCGAATACCGATACGTATAGTTGGGGAGGGAACAAACACACACACACGCGCACAAAAGTCACGTGTCGCACTACTACTCCACCATCTGAACTTTTCCACCGTGAGGACGTCGCGCGCAGTGCGGTGACGAAGACGATAATAATATAATTGAAGACGTGCGTTTCCCCGAGCACGACGTCGCGCGCGCGTGTCGCGGAACTTCGGGCGACGCGACGGACACGTTACTGGAAACTGGGCCCCTATATCGTTCCGCACCGTGACGAAAGGTGTACCACGCGCGCGTTTCTCTTCTTCCTCTTTCCTTTACTTGCGCCGAGGCACCTACACTCGAGTATTTCACGCGTGCGTTGTGTGGGCGGCTGTGTGCGTATCGCTCGCCGCGCACATTTACGTGCGGCACATCCTCGTGCCGAATGACGGCTTAACTCTGATAACGCCGGGAATACGAGCGAGGATATCACATTTGCTCGTACTGATGATGCAGCTCACGTCGCGTTCGCGATTATCCAATTTTTTTTCCGTTTTATTATCCACGTCGAAGAACACAGCGCTTTCGAAACGATTATCAAGAGCTCGAATAATGATTATCAACATATTTGCGGTTTACTAACGATAGATAAGGCTGTACAATTGATTTAGAGTAGGGGAGGTCGGGAGACGCGCAGAACGATCGAAGTGAATTACGTGTGAAATAATTATCAAATATAGAAGGTCATTGTATATATATAAACGGAGAAAAAGATTCTACTAAAGTGTAAAAAATTAACATCAAAATAATTACTTAGAACACTCAAGCTGGTTATTAAAGTGCTCAAAACAATCAAAACTTCTTACTGACATACTTGAAATTTTAAATTAATTATTTGTAATTATTTTGATGATCCACCACAAAATTATTTTCAGATCTTATCCCTCTAGCTAAGTTTTTAAATATTTCAATAATCGTTCTTTCCGTATAATAACAAGTAGTAGTCGTTTAAGGATAACAAGTTCATGAATTTCACTGATATAAGGGCATTGTCACAGGAAGGAAAAAATAATGAAGCGTCTTTTATAAGTTTGACTGTCATTGTATGGAAATGCGAGAAATCGGTGTCACTGTAATTTCATCATACCTACTACGGTTTAACATATGCCAATATATAGTCAATATAAAAAATATTTCTCTATTGTGTGTTTATATACTTTAAATATAAATAGCGTTACTATCATCTAACAAAGTTTTTAGACATTAATTTAAATGCCTACCATGTTTCTTTTCTGTTAAAAGTGCGAGATAAAATCAATATTGAGAAGTCAACAAACGAGAAATTCGTTAAAATATATTAAGGAAATAACGTAACGAACGAAGAAAAAAATAATTAAATAGTTGCAATAATTAGAAATTATTCACACAGTGGATTTTATGTAAACATGAACGATGGATTCTAGATTTGTTATGTATTTACACGCATTCTAAAAAAATACGTTTTAAATGTATAACACGGACAGTTTTCCATATTGTCGATTTGATCTTTTATCGAGTTTATATTCGTGTCATGAACAAAGGTGCTTTGAGAATAATACGAAACTTGACGCGATACGGAGTGACTCAGCGTTTACAGATTAGTGTCAGTTGCGCGTGTGCGATATGAACCTTTATATCTTAACGCAAAGCTAAAACAATCATAATAAAAAATTTTCGCGCAGGCCTGATTTGGCGTACATTAAAATAATACGTGTACACACTGAATTATCATTTGGATATTTCCACATTATTAGTGTTTCCAAACAATAGGTACATGTGTTATACGTTGTTATATGTCGATGTTTTACATAAATAAATATATAACCAAGAACATAAACTTGTAAAATTAGAGAAACTATGGTATAATTGTTATAGATAATAATACGTAATAAACAACTATAAATAATAATTATACATAATTATGTATAATTATTGTCTCATTATTTATACGTTATTTCTTTCTAATTTTTTAATTTTAAGAAGAATATAAAGTTTTAAAAGTTTATATTGGTCTTGTTTGTTTTTTATATGAAATATTAATTTATTAACAAATTAATTAATTATAAATAATAATATTATTAATACACCATGTTGGGGGAAAACAATATTTTTAAAAATTCACATTCCTTTATTACTTATTTCTCTTTCTTTCTCAAGAAATTCAGAAAATCGTGTTCTCGCGAACGTGTTATGTAAACAAGTATGAAGACTAAAGTAATATTAGATATATCTTTCGACCTCCGCGTAAGTAAACATACAATCTCTCAGTGAAGAAAACGTGTTCTGTTTTGTATTACTTTTTCTTTCTTTCCACTGTATAGTACCACATGATTTCATTTGTGTCCTTTACAATACCGACTGCTGACATAAACCAGACGCTATTACTTTTCGCTATATTTCACTTCTAAAGTTGAGATAATACATTTTTATGAGCCGACCTATATATCTAACCCAAACTTATGACAAACAAAAGTTTCTAGGCGATATCAAAGTCGAAAACACAAAATACAAGTTTTTAGCATTAATTTTTGAAATAAAATATGAATATAACTATCATTTTGTTATTTTATAATTTTAATTAACTTTATTACAGGTCTCTATATACAGGTCACTACAACATTCAAAAATAGTCAAAAAATTAGTTGAAATCAATAATAAAATTTTATTTCAAGATTTTTATTTGACCTTATTTTATTTTATTTTGAGAAATAAACTCGCGCATTGTTACAAATATATTATTTATTGCCTCAAATATGACTTTTGTAATACCACTGTTACAAATCAATAACGTTTTGTATAATTAACAAGAAAATAATTTGTACAATAATGAAATATTCGCAACTTTATATATATTCAATTATTTAATTCATTTATAAGGAATAAATGTAAATATTTATATATAAAGAGTAAACCTTTCCTATTCGTAAGCAAAATAATATCGGTACTACATGTACATAGATCTATATATGTATGTCTATCTATACGTAAATATCTAGACAACTTAACAAAAATGTGTAATATTATTTTATAAATAACCGTTATTATATAATAAATTTAATAGTAAATAAGAGTGATTTAAAATTTATTTATTGACTAATGCAGCTTTAACGTATCTCATTATACAATACAAATTATTGAAATAACAGCATATTTTTATTTAAGGAATAAATTGTATCTGTCAAGAGATATGTGTCAAGTCATGCACAGGTAACAGCAATCGGATCATCTATTGAGAATTTTGTATTATCTCATCAATGACGAATTGAAAGATTTTGCAATCAGTAATCGAGGTTTCAATTATATATATGAAAATAAAAACGTATTTATTTTTGCTTTATGTACGTGCCTTAGAAACGGTGATACAACCTGTATAGAAAATAGTATCTATAATAATCTACAGATAACATTTTATTAAAAGATTGGAGACAATATTTATAAGTTAATTTTGCAAGAGCACGATTGTGTTTTTGAGTATTCAATAATCTAACTTCAAACGATTTGGATATTAATAAAATTTTTACAAATATTTATTAAAACTTTGCAAAACCTTGATATTTAAGCAATTCAAAGCCAATTTATTGGACACTCAAAACACAATGATTAAATGTGCAGGATTAATTTATAAACCACGTCTTCAATCTTTTAATGAAATTATGCGTTAATTATTATAAATACTATTATACATATACATGTATAATAACATATTTTTAATACTCTACAGATAATAATTTATGTAGGCAGGTTTTCCCTAGAAAATTGATGGATTTACGTTTCGCTCGACAGAGAGGATTTCTGTTCGCTTAGGCTTAGACATATGAATACGGATTTTTCGCTTCAGTGACCCTTTTCATCTTTCGCCTGTAAATTCCTCTCTCTGTTTTACCTTTGAAGTACGCCGATATTAGGTCTCTGTCGCATTGCTTGAAATCCCGAGAAAAAAGAAAATTTGCCTTTAAACAGAAATAAGTATACATTCAAATCCTGAAGAGAGAAAAAAAACAAAACTGCCGCGTGCAAAAAAGAGTACGAAGCAACGCGCGAACAGGCCTATTGACAAACAAAAGAATGGAAAGATCTGATCGACCCAAGCCCGTTGAAGCCCGCCAACCAGCCGGCTGAAAGCCCGCGACGCTGACATGACTCGAGAGATCTGGGAGGGGGGGAGGGGGGCACCCTGAGTAACACGCATGCGCGCGCGCCAGTTCCTCGGCGTATCTGGTTTGTCGAGAAACGACGCACAGTGGCGACACGGTGCAGATCCGGGGGCTTTGGGCGTCCGAGGAGGGATAGATCTCGCAGGTCGCTCGAACATGACGGATAGCTTGGTTCTCTTTGGTACGTGTAAAGACTGCGATTCTCGCGACATCGACGCCAGTTATTGATTAGCTGACTCAGCTGACTCTACTGTTAACCGTTCATCCGGTATTGCGGGTTATCGAGGTGAAACAGGGAAACTCGCCAGCAGAAACACAGGTACGTGTGCGAGTCAGCCGGGAAAGCGACGACGCATTTTCTCGCGGCCATGTCGGTTTTATTAGCACTGTTTTATTATCGACCGTCCATGTAATTATGATTATGTAATGCATTACATGTATATGCATCGTAATAATATATTCGTTGGACACGAGATATCAATTCGCCGACGGTGATACGTTGTCTTCCGATAATGGGAAAACCAGTTCTTTTTGTGTAAAGTAAAATGCCGCACGACACGAGACACACGTTGTTTCATGTGGTGTTGCCTGAGAGAGTCGGTTCGCGCGCTTTTTTACTCACGAATTTCTGTTGGCAACAAAACGTGTACTATAGAATTATTTGAAGGACTTTCGATGGACACGTTCTTTTGTCAATTATTCCATTGTAAACATTACAACAAAGGTAAGAGAATGTATCACTTAAGAGAGTTAATTTTCAGTTAAAAAAAAAAGAGCTAGAAATTTGTTCTCAAAATATTCAGAAATTAGAAAAAGCCATCGGAATATCAAGTGATCTGATGAATAATTTTGATGTAATAGTAATTGAAAAATAATGCTTCGTATTGTTAATATAAAGTATATATCATATATGTATGTGTTATTAGAAAGGGAAAATTTATTGTTAACATAGAATATATATGTATAGAGAGGACTGGTTCTTTTTAGACTGCCGGGATTTGAGATATTAAACCGTCCTTTAAAAGTGGCCAAATTTGTGTCTTATATCAACTATACAAAATTCATATCATAGACTGTTGTTGAGCCGATATATCGGCTTTCCGGCAGTCTTAAGGTTAACTTACAATTTATCGTTTCTTTTTTCTTCTCCAATGTGGAGAGAGAAAAGGAGAAAAGATGAATTGTGTAAGAAGTTTAGCTAAAAAGAACAGACTAGATTATTAGATTAGAATATAATATTGAGATCACATTCATTTCTAACAATTGATTAATTCGAATTTTGGTTTAACTTGTAGAGTTTTCCACTGGCGGGAAAACTAATGCAACATTGGTGCACACTGAGTGCAATTAAATGCAAATCAATTTACATATTTTCAGTGTTAATAAATAATTTAACCATTTTAGTTAGATATTCTTTGTTATCAATAACCTTATAATGTTAAAAGAATTAAATTATTTGTTAACACTGAAAATATGTGAATTGATTCGCATTCAATTGCACTTAGTGTGCACCAGTGTTGCACTAGTTTTTTTTTCAATGGAAAACGCTATCTTCATCTTTTTGTAACTCTTGGAACTAGAATAGTTGAATCGAGATTAAAGTTTATATACATTGGTGAACACGAAACAGGAAATAGAAATTGCAATTGCGATTGTTGTATGTCTTTCAGTTTATATTTGGTTGTTGACCATATCTTTTTCCTATTTTATTGGTTTCCTTATTTCCAAGCAAAAAATAATGCATGCAAAAACAAGCAATTTTTTTTTCTTAAATATTAATGTAGACTATCTAATATAACACGCTCACACACACATACATGTATTGCCAAAAGTGGTTTTAAAAGATTAAATTATATTTTTCGCAATATATTAAAATAAATTAAAGATTTTAACGAATTTATTGGCTCGTGGCCCTGTTTCTCTTTATTAGTATTAAATTATATTTTTTATTGACTTTTATTGAATAATTATTTAGAAAAAAATTATTCAGAAATTCTTATCACATTATCTCGTTATATGTAATTGTTTATAATGTTAATACTTTTGAATTATTGATTGGGTAGAATTTTAACAAAACTTCTATGAATTCTATGAAAACTACAACTATTTTTTATTAGTTTAGTTTAAATTTGTTCAAATATAATCTTATTATGGATTCTCCAAATTCAAACTAACAAAAAGAACATGAAGGATGGATGAGAGTATTGTTGCTTATAGGCAATGTGTAATGAAGTGCAAATTCCTATTGCTTCTTTTTTATTCAATCATATAATTAAATTATTAGATTTTGATTATTTAGTTATATGGAATAAAAAGGAGTAATAGAAATTTTCACTTTATTACACATTGCTTATTAATAATAACGCTATACTCATATTCGCCCTTTATGTTCTTTTTGTTGGTTAGTTTAATTCGTTAGGTTACAATAATCATCTTTTCAGTTTATTCACAATTTTATCTACTGTTTTTCAATTTATGTACTTAATGATGTTTATCATTTAATTACATTTGATAATTTTTACATCTTGTAATCTTAAACATTATTTATTATAATATGATTTGTATTATCAAACCTGAGCAGTTTTCATTTAATTAAATATTTAATATATATTCTATTATATTAAATATTCTTATGTTGAGTATATATATTTACAATTATATGTATATTTAATGTGCAATATCTTTATTATAGGTAAAAATGGCTGAAGAACAGTGGGGAGTTGATGACTCATTGGATTTTGGTCAGGCACCAGTTACTATGTCTTCCGTAAGGATATTTCATTTGAATCTTTTTTTTAAATATGTATCATAGAAATAAAACAAAATAATCATTAATATCGATATTATGTTTTAACAGTTTGAAGAAGGACGCGCCCCTTGTCATGGTAAAGGACGTGGTGCAATACTGTACAACAACAATGACAAAAATTACAGTGTAGGAGGTTCCTATAATAGTAAAAAAACAAATGAAGAAAATTTTGATAGTAACGAAGATAATGAAAATAACAGATATAGTAGAGATAATAGTAATAATGAAGGCAACAGACAAGATAATAAGCGGTATGGAAATAATAGAGGTGACAATGATCGTAGGTGGCAAGGCAATAGGAACAATAGTAGGCAAAACAGAGATAATGATGATGAAACTGAAAATAATGGCTTCAACGGAAGTTATCAGAACGATAGAAAGGACAGACCTAGAAGAGATAGAGATGAAAATAGAGGTGGAAGAGGTGGTGGCGGTTATAGTAGAAACAGGGATGGCGATGATAATGATAGAGGTGGAAGAAGTGGTGGCGGTTATAGTAGAAACAGGGATGGCGATGATAATGACAGAGGTGGAAGAGGTGGTGGCGGTTATAATAGAAACAGGGATGGCGATGATAATGATAGAGGTGGAAGAGGTGGTGGTTACGGTAGAAACAAGAATAGTGATGATAATGATGGCGAAAACAGGAGACGTAGAAGAAACGATGATGAGTCCAAAGAAGGTGACGATAAAGAAGAACCAAAAAAGAGAGAGATTTATATTCCACCAGATCAACCTGATGACGAAAATTCATTGTTTGGAAATGATGTATCAATGGGAATAAATTTCGATAAATATGATGATATTGAAGTAAGAGTGACCGGTGAGAATGCACCGCATTTAATACAATCCTTCGAACAGTCTGGCCTCAGAGCTATCCTGTTAGATAATATTAAAAAGTCAGGTTATACAAAACCTACTCCTGTTCAAAAGTACGCCATTCCGATTATAATGAGCGGCCGAGATTTAATGGCTTGCGCACAAACAGGTTCAGGAAAAACTGCGGCATTTGTAGTTCCCATTTTACACACTCTGTTGGAAAGTCCAAAAGATTTAATTAAAACATCCACTTACTGCGAACCACATGTGATTATTATATCGCCTACACGCGAACTTACGTCGCAGATACATCAACAGGTCAAGAAATTTTCTTTAAGCTCTATCATACGTGCCGAGCTTGCTTACGGAGGAACATCAGTTATGCATCAGTCCAGTAGAGTGCTTAATGGCTGCCATATTCTAGTTGCAACTCCAGGTAGATTGTTAGATTTTATAGGACGAGGCAAGATTCGACTTTCTTCCTTACGGTTTCTTGTACTGGATGAAGCTGACAGAATGCTTGATATGGGTTTTCTACCCGATATTGAAAAGCTAATAGATCATGAAACAATGGGACCTGCAGAGGAGAGGCAGACACTTATGTTCTCCGCCACGTTTCCTAATGAAATTCAAGAACTTGCGAGTCGATTTTTACGAAATTATTTATTCCTCGCAGTTGGGATTGTCGGTGGTGCGTGTGCTGATGTCGAACAGAATTTTTATCAAGCATCCGGTCAGTCTGAAAAGCGAAAATTGCTGAAAGACTTGATAGAGAAACAAAATCAACTAGGAAATATAGAAGGTACTTTAGTATTTGTTGAACAGAAAAGACACACGGATTTCATAGCGGCCTTCTTGTCGGAGAGCAATTTTCCAACAACAAGTATACATGGCGATAGATTACAAAGAGAACGAGAAGAAGCTCTATGGGATTTTAAACGAGGAAAAATGTTGATTTTGGTGGCAACCGCGGTTGCTGCGCGAGGCTTGGATATTAAAAATGTTTCACATGTAATTAATTTCGATTTACCAAAGACGATCGACGAATATGTTCATAGAATCGGACGAACTGGTCGGGTTGGAAATCGCGGCAAAGCAACTTCATTTTTTGATTCATCTACTGATATGCCTCTCACCGATGATTTGATCAAAATTTTGAAACAAGCTGGTCAACCGATACCTGACTGGTTACAATCTGGTGGCGATGGCGGAAGCAGAACCTTCATGCCAGGAAGAGGGAGGAAATTTGGTGGAGAAGATATTAGAGGCGTAAGTGATATTGCAATTGAAATTTCTGGTTGAATATTTATAGCAATTCATTTCTATTATATTTCTAATATGTTGCCGTTGAATACTGAAAATTATGTATTAAGTTGTTTTATAAATAATGAAGAATTGATAAAACTAGAACTTTTAAGCTTATAATATAAATTATTGATAAGCCTATGATATTAATAAATACGAATTTTTCTCTGTCCAGAACAAGAGTGCATATGAAGATGAAAATTGTTATGCAGCTCCTACACAAGCAGCAGAACCAGAAGAAGAATGGTAGAGACTGGAAGTTACATATTTTACACACGTGTAAAATACTTTTCGCTTTCTTCAATTTCAAAAAGTACATATAATCGCTTCTACAAATGCAGTAAGCAGAAGTGACAATTGGTTTTTGTTCCTCTTTTTCTCTTTAGTTTAGTATATAATACATTTTTATTACTGCGTTCCTTAATAAGTGAGAAAGAATGCAAGAATGCGTTTAAATTTATATTACTACCTCAGGCTTGAATATAGAGTTAATACTATTATTTCCAGTAATTAAGTTTTAAATTACATAAAATTTTAGATTACACATACACTTACACTGCTTACACTGTTTGTATAAATCTGATTATTGAAAAAAAATTATAATTTCGGATTGTAGACTTAAGAATTATGATTTAATAATTTTTCTTTTGCTTTAATTAAGATATTGCCATCTTATGATTATCATTGAAAGTGTATCATTGATAAATAATTCTTGATACAGTATTTCAAAATATGAATAATTGCGTGGAAAGATATAATTTTATATAAAATAATTTATAATTAATTTTTTTTTTCATTGTCTTCACATCATACGTTTTATTTCAACAGCAATCTTTAAAAAGTTAAAATTTTTTTTAAATTTTTGGAAAAACTTGCATTTACCTAAAACTAACAGTGTGATATACATATAAGAAATATTCTAATATAATAAAGTATATATTTCATACTCCACGCGATTATTGAAAACTTAAACGATTTATTCATATTTCATGATTATAATTTGTTTTATAAAATACAATTCTATTTTGTTTCTTGATGTTATATTTTTATAAATTATAACAAATATAACATAATATAGTTTTATACTTTTATAATAAAACTTTTGTGTTTTTGAAATAAATTCTCCAACAATAAGTTGTTTTAATATATTCTAACACATTCACACATTGACAGTGATATTAGTATATTATTATTGTTTATTAGGATAGTTAAATATACGTGAGAAGGATAAAGTGAGGTCACAAATGAGTCACGTTAAGAAAATGCTATTACCTTGTTTCTATCTTTAAATTCTCTCTTTCTCTCAGTCTAATTTATTAATTTTTACTATATACAGATTAGTCTATATCTCTCTAACAAATGAAAAAGTTAACATTCATAAAAGAAAATTAAGAAATCTGATCTTTAAAAAATAATGAATTTTTTTTAATTTTCCATTTTCTGCAGTTTTTTTATAATTAAAAATGGTTAAAGTATTTATTCTTAAGAGATTTTATGAAAATTCTTTAAATTTTGTCAATTATTAACGCATTAATGAGCGAGAGGCTTTTATTAGGAGAAAAAATGTACGCTCTTATAACAATGACATAAACGATAATAATACTTACCGTCGTTCATGGCCATGTCCATTAGGTGCAAGTCCTCATCATTGAGTAGAGACGAAAGAAATCCGTCAGTTGTTTGGTTGATGGAATCTGTCGTCGGGGTATGATAATACATCATATCGTTAGGTTCAGACTTGTAACTTGCTCCGCTCTCTGCACCCATTGGCTCACTACTGTTTGTCAAATTCATCGATGTTGCCACAGCTGAACCCAAATTCGACGTCCCACCTGTAACAGTGAGCAGCTTAGTTCAGACAATGAAATTTCTTAGATATTTTAATTTACTGCATTCTCCTATTTTTTTTTTTTTTTGTAAAAATTGATATCATTAGTTGAAGTTTTTACGAGTGTCAGTGTATGAATGAAAAACATAAAATTGTGAATTATGTTTTAAAGATTATATAACTTATATATTAGGCTATAACTTATATTTATAGGCTTACCACAAGTACAAAAAATATTTTAATTAAATATTAAGAAAATTGGATTTCATACGCTTCTGATGTATACATTGCGTGTTAACTTCATTTATTTCAACGATACAAATTCAGTAATTCACATTGCGAAATTTTATTATATCAGAAAGGAAGAGATAATAATATAACGTTAAGATGGGAACAAAACTTTGAACACTCACCCACATTGTGGTAAGGTCCCGTTGAATTGAGATCCCCGACCGGAGGCGCTAAGGTAGGATTATGGAGCAATACGTTACGTTGCGCCTCGTAATGACTGTGACTTATACCGTGTCCTGGATACCCAGGATGCGCTGGATGTGCGAAGTGGTCCGGTGCTCCTGGCAGGGATAAAAGAGACGCGAGATCTTGCCACCGCTGTTCCATACTCATCGCTCGCATGAACGGCATGCGACCCTAAAATAAAAAAGTTCCGTTCTTTTAAAATTACAGTATTTATAAAATTATGAATGATTTTAATGCGTGTTATGTGTGTGATAAATAATCATTAATTATTTAAGAATTTCTAAATGTCTCAGAATATATGTTTCATACACTGAGAAAAAATTGCTATTGATTCAATTAAAACACGACGAGCTGTCACTTTAAGTAATTAATTCATGTATATTTTTATTGATATCAAGACCTTGATTATTAAAACAATAATAAGCCTTTGTATTCCAATAAAAATATATATGAATTAATTACTCGTGTTGGTGACAGCCCGTGATATAGATTTCAATTGAATGAACAGAATTTGTTTCTCAGTGAACACAATTTTATAATCATTCGAAACGAGAAATTCATCATTTTTAACGTGGATTATTAAAATATTTCGTAAAAAAGGTTTTATATATAATTTATAACATATAATAATTCTTAGATAACAAAAAGTCCTGTACAATTCAAAAACAAACTTGGAAAGAAAAGGGCACTAGACATCAAGCGCAAATAACTTTACGCAAACGCTGATATATAACAAGCAAAACTTATTTATTATAACAATTGTGCTTACATGGTTCAGTTCATTTTTTAACCTTCTTCAGAGACAATGTAAATTACGTAAATAAATTATAAATAAAAAATAACATAAAGTATCAAATGATGTTTAATCATAGTGAGCTCCCCCACAACTGAGAAATAAAATCTGATGTTAATTTAAAATCTAAAGTTATCTGCGCTTGATTCCTAGTGCCCTTTTCTTTCCAAGCTTATATAATTTGTATAATTAAAATATCGCAATTTTATTGAATTCTTCACATGTTGACCATTCGTTCGCGTTTGAAACCAAATCCACGAAATTTACGTGTTCGTTGACTGTCGTAGCAATTATCTTATCTGGTACATTCTATTATCATAGAATCAAACATCGATCGATCGAATGTCACACAAGAGGGATCTCGTAGCCGTCGTGCCTGTCAAATGTCAACCAGATAGACACCTGGATTCCAAAGAGGAACCCCGCTGATCGTGTAGGTGTTGGCTGCACGCAAGATCGGTAAAGGATATTAATAACAGAGGTACTACGTGTCAAAAGTATCCTTTTCCTCTCTTGTAAGGGCATCGATCGTGATCGCGTGTCAATCAATGCGGAAATTATGACAGGCGAAATTTATGATTAAGGAACGTACTGCATGTTTATAAGTGGCTACTAAATAAGTTTTTACGACAGAGGAGAGGAGCGGAGCCGATTCGCTGGAACGATATAATGTGTGACTGTTTCTGCTCAAAAAAATTACAACTGTACTATTTTTCATTTGTGTCATCAATTGTGTCTTCGCCAATACATGTAAAATATACGTTACGTGTATCATGTAAATGTGAAATAAATGTACAAATGATCATATTAAACGGTATATCACACGGGAAAATAATAAGTATCGTGTGTGTGTGTGTGTTTTAGCATATTTCTTATATCTATGTATACAACTTGGTAGCAGTGCGTAACAACAGGAAACGCGGAGTTATCTTCGATTCCTCTCTCGCGACGCGCGTTTTACGCTTTCGAGGAAAAAGCGTCTGTAAATTTCATACGGTCGAGGAGTGTAAAAATCTCTCTCTCGGCGACATGCGCGCGAAGAGAATCACGATTTGTCCGCTAATTGTGAGAGAACAGTCGCGTACTTTCACGAAATTTCTTGATTTCTTCCTGTCCCGCTCGACAAGTCGGGGCGAGGAAGGGGGGGGGGCGGGGGCAAAGAGAGACGCGAGGCTGTATATCGCGCGGCGCGGCGCGGCGCGGTGGCGTAAGCGCGGTAGTGGTGCTTGGCCTGGGTACGTACCGTACCCACACCGGCGCTTAATGCACATAGGTATTGTCGCTAATGCGCCTGGGCGCAAGAAGAAGATGAATAGGGAAGCGCTGCCGCGCGCGGCTGGCTGTGCGCGGCCGGGGCCCCGCTTGGATTGTTGTTCACGGGTGCATCAATCAGTCGCCAGTGCAATCTGTCGAGCGCGACGCCTTTAAGGCGATTCTCGCTTGTCAGCGCATCTGCCGGGGCCTGTGTGTAAGGCCGCGCGGCGCGCGGCGAAATGTAGGACGGGGGACTTTTGTTCCACCGGCGATTTGTCGTGCAGCGCGACGCGCACACCGCGCGTTTCTAATGGCCGGACTTTACGGCTCATCCTGGTTCGACGTAACGGCCGTGATTGAGTTATAGGAAAAAAGCGCGCGCCGTCGTTTAAAGCCTAGCTCTCCGCCTCTCTCTTACTCGTTCTCTCTTTTAGTTCCCCCCTGTTTTCTGTCCCGCTGCCGCCGCCGCGCGAGAAGACAGGCGGCCCGATTACTCTGTCCCGCGCGACACGGCGAGGTGCGCGACCAGCTTTCCGCCGCGCCGGGACGCGACTTCCAGTTTTCAATCATCGTCGGGAATACTCGAGATTCGTTATACCTCGTGGCGGATTAATCCGTGACGAAGATCGTTAACGGACGTCGTGGCCGCGCGCCGCAATCGCAGAAACCGGAGTCCTCGAACGGGTTGGGATCAATTTGAAGGAGAGATAAAGATGCGATTGCGCGGACTTTTTTTAATTGGCGATTTTATCTGATCCTCCGTCCACAATGCGAATATCAATACAATACGCTCAACCTGCCATTATAAACTACAGCGGAATTCTCATAAGGATGCGGGCGATGTCGTATATATACGCGAAGACTTGCCGGCTGTTAATCACGCGATTAGATGCACGATGCGTGATTTATTGGACAGCCGTTGGGGCTGCCCGACATAACGTTCATTCTGACGAATCCACGTCTCCAGATTGGTCCGGTATATCTATACGTGTGTGGTAAACGAACGTTACGCTACGCATTCCTCCTCAGCTACTGGCGCTTATGATTTATGTACCACACACAGTACGTACGGCCTCATGTACGGCGCTCACGTATGTGCGCTTCTTCCACGGCTGTGTATGATCTCGCTTCGCGTGCACGGCAGAGTCGTCGCGGAACGTATATGAATCTGCGAGAGACTGCCAGGAAAGATATCTACGGCGGCAGATGTTTGAAACGCGCTGTCGAGGACTCGCTAGATTTCTTCCGAGGTTTCTCTCTCTCTCTCTCTCTCTCTTTCTCTGTTTCCTCTCTTTACCCCCCTTTTCCCTTGCAGCTATGTGCTCTTTTTCTTCTGGTATTCATTAATATCGCAACAATCTCCGATGCCTTATCAAATCCATCACAAGAGATTCGCGTAGAAACAGATTTCTGAGATTTGTATAAAACTGATGTTACTCCGGTTCGTTAGAAAGCGCATTCATCGCCAGTATTTGCACTTGTATATTATCATTCATCGCACTACTTTAATCGGGTACGGTTTCCAATATGAAAACAATCTTGAAATCAACTCTATTATACTAATAATGAGAACAGTTTAATCGACAACTATCAATTATCAACAAAACAATGCACGCGCGATATTTAAATTAATGGGTTTATCGTTATGGTCCTTTTTTTTTTTGCGCCGAATCTGCTTCATGGAAATATCATGCTCGTCTGTTTCTCTCGTTCGGTCACCTCTCTTTAAAACGCCATAAAACGCGATCAGTCTCTCCTTTCAGGATTGTCGTCTGCAATTTTGTTTTTATTCCGCCTATATAACGTCGCGACTGCAGCGAAACTATTTCGATCTATTTGACAGTGATCAACTGACCGCTTGACACCTGCCATCACCGTCATTTAACCCATCGTCTCTCTCTCTACGGTTCTCGATCAGTTACCTCGAGTTACCTACTTTTCACCTCAACACGACGCGTGTGTTTTCGTACGTGACTGCTGGCAAAGCTCGTTTCTGTCACGAAGGTTGTGAATGAAAATATTGATGGATACGGATTCAGCCCCTCACCCTTTATACGTATCGTGGTATGTGGAAAAAAATATATTTATGTCTGCGTACCCCCGATTCATTCCTCATCGAGCTAGACATTTTTCCCAAGCTTTCGTGATCATATGTATATATTTGTAATGACAGGACCGTTCGATCGTATCTCGTCCAAGGTTGCGTAGTTTGATCAGCAAGAGACTATCCTTAACCCTCCACCGGCAGTATGGAATTTTAACTCTTTCGTTAGGGGGCTTTGAAAGAAGCAAAACAATTTTTTTCTTCTCTCGGGCTATATAAAAATCTGAAAAAATTCTAGTCACAATAGAACACCGTCCCTGTACCTTTAAATCCCAGTGTACCTTTAAATTGTTCGTCACTGTATTATTAAATATTGTAGCTTTAATTTTGTCTGCGTGAAATCAATCATTGATTTTTCAATTATTTTGTTTTCTTATAATATCTTTTAATCTAAAAAAATGTCAATATATTTTATGTTTTTGATAAAAAAAAAATTGTTTTGTTCTTATTAGTGTATCCTTTTAAAAGGGACAATGGCTCCATTACTTAATGTGCCGCTAATTTGTGTGCCTATCCACATTGACTCATTTTAACGCACAGAAACAGATAACAAATGTAAGCTAATTGTTTAAGTTAATGTTGCATAAAGCATCTTTTTAATTACTTACAATTTCAATGTACACTCAACACGCTCTCAGTTTCCATACACAACACACTGAGGTCCGGTTTTTCATTATCCATTATTAATTTATGATTAGGCTTAACCTGATGTTTCATCCAATGGACTTCATCTGTGATGTCATGAACAAAGTCCATTGGGTGAAACATCATGTTAAACTTAACCACAAGTTAACTAGATAATGAAAAACCTAAAATAAAGACAAATTTAAAATCTTGCGGTGTTGTTGGACTCATATCTCATGTCTTTCGACAAAATATTTATTATACTTTAATAGTTAAAAAATAAAATATATTATCTTTGGTATCATATTCATTAATAATTTAACTCAACAAAGTCTTTTATCTTATTTATTTGTGCTAATTTTCTTTATGATTTATTTAAATACAAAGGCACTAATA